ACAGCTGACGCCGCGACAAAGACGTCACAACTGGTGCTGTCCGTGACCAGGATATCAGAGCCTGGGGAGCACGTGACGTCAATTGGCGCCGCGAACGGGATCGAACGACACAGTCGACGCTGCGACCGGGGGACGACGTCACAAATGGTGCCGTGACCATAGGATCACAACCCTGGACCACATCACGTCACAATCTACCATGTATTCAATTGTGAAAGCAGAATAACATATATCATGTTTTTATTACTTCAAAGCTCCCAATTAAATTTCGGCATTACATGACCCATAAGGAGTTGATTTGCTGTTAAACATACAAATCTAATCAAAATGGGGGATTTTTTTAAATTCAGCCTTCATTTTTATCCCTGATTTAATTTCAAATTGACAATTTTTTTATCAAAAATACTTTGTTTCATTGTGTATTCATTTTTATCCATGTGAAATGGGCAAAGTGAATTTGCTAAGGATTAATACAAATCAAATTTCGTCACTTAGCTAGTTGATTTTATATTCAGATGGACAAACTATTCTCTTCTTCTCCCTCCAGCTATGGGTAAAATAGCAGGACAGACTGGGTTCTATAGCCTTGGTTGGCAGCTGGTCTAGAAGAAGGACAACTCTGAATTCAAAACCTGCGTAGGGGCGTTTGTGGACCTTGTGGCACGTAGTGCACCAGGTCTCTTCAAAACGGCTGGATGGTCCTACGCGAAACCTGCATCACTATAAACAAATCTCATGTGCTGTTGTCGGGCTGTCGGTTTCCGAGGAACTGATCTGCTTGACAGTTATACGTTGAATTCGAGGGGAAAGTCGAGTATATATATATATATATATATATATATATATATATATATATACATATATATAAAAAATAGGATTCTTATGTGGAAATAAATTCCAATAAAAAAATACTATTCTTAAGAGTGCTCATTACAGAGAAACAAATGGATATTTTTGTAGTGATTTATATATATATATATATATATATATATATATATATATATATATATATATAAGTGTTTGTCACGTAACTGATTGGTATTATCTTCAGCATCCCGACTCCAGAGTTTCGGAGACAGATCCGCCGGAAATTACATGTCAGTGGTTATCAGCTTGTACTTTTTTATAAGCACTTTCATTCGTGCAAGTTTAACATACAAGAATAAACAAAAATACATAAAAATAAAATAAAATAAATCCACAAAAATAAATGAAATAAATGAATCCAGACCAGTAAATAAATTAAATAATAAACAAATTAACAAACTACGAATGCACACATAAACACAAGTAAACATAATAACAACCAATTATAAAATAATGAACAATAAGAAAAAGTTAAAAACAACACGATAAATAACAAAAAACTGCATCCAGATCCACAATTATTGCCATTCATTAACCCTTAGATAAATTCGAAACATAACCGTTACCGCACACCAAAATAACCGTTAGAATAATGCAATGAAGTACCCACAATGCATCACTGACTTGTATATATAAATAGTCGAGCAAAATCACGACGATTAAAGTCTAACGATTGCGTTCAAGAATAAAACCGATTGTTGCCTCTGACTGTTGACTTCAATGTCCACATTTATATTTATACACACACACACACACACACACATATATGTGTGTGTGTGTGTTTATGTTTATTAGGAAAATTTGACAGAGTGGAAAAAATTTTCGCGTGACGTGTTTCGTCGTTTTGGACGATCGAAGGAAATTGATGTTCACGTTGATGTGATTACACATGCGCGTGAATGAGAGAAAACGACATTAAAATTATTTTTTTCTAATTGGTAGAATGATTCTACTGCAACACAATATCCCAGATATGTTGTCGCCTTACTATATTTATTTCTGTGCTATTATTTATTACAAATCGATTTTATTAGAAATCGATTTTATTCTCTCTTAGATTTTCTAAGTATATTCTTCGAGTAAAACAATAAACAAAAGAAATTTATTTATATAAAAATGAAGATATTTATTTTAAAACATTTAATAATAAAAGATAAGTTATCTTTATTTTAAAAAATGTGTTTAAAAATAAATCGCGTGAAAATTAATTTTTTTTAATACTTTACGTCTCGGGGCAAATTCTCTCATCCCCTATTGTTACGATGGAAATTTCGTAAAAAGTTAATTTTTTCCGCTAGCCGGTGAAATTTGAAAATAGACATGAAGTGCCATGCGGATTTAAATTTTTCCCACTTATGACGAATGCAGCTATCGATTTTTTTTGCATGCTAGTTAACATTCGTGTCAGACAGCTGTTGGCTCTCACGCTGACCAATAGAATCTTCCTGTCTATTCGTGACAGCCAGCTATAGGCTCTCACTCTGGCCAGTAGAAAATGGCCGCAAACTACATGAAAACTGCCGTAGAAGCATGAAAAAATCGATTATTTCCACTATCGATGGGAGCTGGGAAATGCAAATCAGTCTTAGCCTTCCCACTAACTTGGAGCATGTGCATGTAAATTTGTGTGCAAACCCGTCGAAAATTGCGGCCGTGCATTCGTTACACACACACACACACACACACACACACACACACAGAGATCCTGCCTTTTAAAGATACAGATTCAGTAAATCTTTAAAGGTTTAACATTCACCTGAACCATAATTTCTGCAATCCTCTGCACCTTTTGTCACTCCTTCTTTATTTCTTGTTCCTTTTGATTTAATGTTTTTTATCATTTCATTGTGAAATGCAATTGTATTTATTTTCTTATTGGATATTTATTATTGTTAAAGTTTTTCTTCAAAGAATAACAAACGACCAGATATTTGTCTTTTTTTTTTATTTCTCCTTTTACTTTTAACTGTCTATCATTTTTCTACGTTGTTTTACATCGTTACCAATATATTGGCAATGTCAAAAACAATATATTTCGGCAGAAAATTAGTCTGTATTGTGTTTTCTTCATAGTGATTTCCGATATACTATGAAGTTAATTTCGAGATAATTTTCTTTTTTATTAACAGGATAATCAGGACATTTATTTTTTACGAGAAAATGATTTTGATGAGTTCTTCGTGGAATAGCGATGGGGAAGAATTCGTAACTTTTGATTTATTGCCCAAATTTGCAGTAAGAGTTTCTTTTATACCTGAGCTGGTCATTAGAATGAATATGTCAAGAATTTGAGATGTTGGTGTTTTATATAAGAACGTTATGAAGATGTAGCAATTGGACTATAAAAAAATCTAAAAACAGAATATTTTTTTAAATTCTAAAGTTTAAATTCTTCGCTGAAAATGTAAAAATTCGAAGGAGGGTTTTAACATATTATTTTTTCAAAAAATGGCTAGCACAATAAAAATAACGCCTGAGGTAGGTTCCGGGTTTAACGAAGTTTTTGAACATTACATTTTTAAAAGACGTACTCCAAAAATGTTGGCCCTAAGCGAGATCCCATTAAATGCCATCTGTCTAAGCCTAGAAGATTCGGCTGTTGTCATACATAGAAAAGGCCTCTAGTGATCGCATTTAGCAGTAACTATTGCAATGTGGTAGGTTTGAGTTGGATGGAGGAAGGGAAGATGTTTGTATAGACAGTAACTGTTGCAATGTGGTAGGTTTGATTTGGATTGAGGAAGGTAAGGTGTTTACATAGACAGTAATTTTTGCAGTGTGATAGATTTGATTAGACTTCGTTTGTACAGACTTCCAAAAATTCTGTTCATTGTCTTCTAAAACGTGACATGAGAAAGTTGCTGTTTAGTATCGAATAAACTACTAAACTGTTGTTAGAATGGTGTGTATATAGGAATGTATGCGGGTTAAGATGTATTTGGTTGGTAGGAATAGATGGCAAGAACACTCCCTCAACCATTCTCAATCTGCAGTTTCAGACTTCCTCAGACGTGACCCACAGCACCCGGTGAGTAAATAGACCAACCCCACGTATCATTTCGAAGATCTCTGGGGCCTGATAACATGCCCCTGGAACTAATCAAGCATAGTGGATTCCCCTTCTCCATAAAAGATTCTTCCACCTCCTCCTCCTTCTACGAACCTGGGAAAAGGATGAGGTTCTATCAAATCTGAATTATCCGAATAACATCACCATCTTCCAGAAAGGAGATAGAAGCATTTGTGGAAACTACAGTGGAATCTCTCTCAATTCCATCACAAGGCAGATCCTCGCCAGGATCCTTCTCAGATGCCTATACACGTTATCAGAGTATATCCTCCCTGACAAAATATGTGGTCCCAGAGGAACCAACCTCCCCGAAAGTCAATGTGGTTACAGAGGAACCAACCTCACTGAAATTCTATGTGGTCCCAGAGGAACCAACCTCCCCGAAAGTCAATGTGGTTACAGAGGAACTAATCTCACTGAAAATCTATGTGGTCCCAGAGGAACCAACCCACACGAAAGTCGATGTGGTTACGGAGGAGCCAACATCACTAAAATTCTATATGGTCCCAGAGGAAACACCCTCCCCGAAAGTCAATGTGGTTACAGAGGAACTAACCTCACTGAAGTTCTATGTGGTCCCAGAGGAACCAACCTCCCCGAAAGTCAATGTGGTTACAGAGGAACTAACCTGACTGAAATTCTATGTGGTCCCAGAGGAACTAACCTCCCCGAAAGTCAATGTGGTTACAGAGGAACTAACCTGACTGAAATTCTATGTGGTCCCAGAGGAACTAACCTCACTGAATTTCTATGTGGTCCCAGAGGAACCAACCCACACGAAAGTCAATGTGGTTACGGAGGAGCCAACCTCACTGAAATTCTATGTGGTCCCTGAGGAACCAACCTCCCCGAAAGTCAATGTGCTTACAGAGGAACTAACCTCACTGAAGTTCTATGTGGTCCCAGAGGAACCAACCTTCCCCGAAAGTCCTTACAGAGGAACCCACTGAATTTTATGTGGTCCCAGAGGAACCAACCTACACGAAAGTCAATGTGGTTACAGAGGAACTAACCTCACTGAAATTCTATGTGGTCCCAGAGGAACCAACCTCACTGAATTTCTATGTGGTCCCAGAGGAACCAACCCACACGTGGTCCCAGAGGAACCAACCTCACACTATGTGGTCCCAGAAGAACCAACCCACCGAAAGTCAATGTGGTTACAGAGGAACCAACCTCACTGAAATTCTATGTGGTCCCAGAGGAACCAACCTCACTGAATTTCTATGTGGTCCCAGAGGAACCAACCCACACGAAAGTCAATGTGGTTACAGAGGAACCAACCTCACTGAATTTCTATGTGGTCCCAGAGGAACCAACCCACACGAAAGTCAATGTGGTTACAGAGGAACCAACCTCACTGAATTTCTATGTGGTCCCAGAGGAACCAACCTACACGAAAGTCAATGTGGTTACAGAGGAACCAACCTCACTGAATTTCTATGTGGTCCCAGAGGAACCAACCCACACGAAAGTCAATGTGGTTACGGAGGAGCCAACCTCACTGAAATTCTATGTGGTCCCAGAGGAACCAACCCACACGAAAGTCAATGTGGTTACAGAGGAACTAACCTCACTGAAGTTCTATGTGGTCCCAGAGGAACCAACCTCACACGAAAGTCAATGTGGTCTATGAGTTAGAACTAACCTCACTGAAATTCTATGTGGTTCCAGAGGAACCAACCCACACGAAAGTCAATGTGGTTACAGAGGAACTAACCTCACTGAAGTTCTATGTGGTCCCAGAGGAACCAACCTACACGAAAGTCAATGTGGTTACAGAGGAACTAACCTCACTGAAGTTCTATGTGGTCCCAGAGGAACCAACCTACACGAAAGTCAATGTGGTTACAGAGGAACTAACCTCACTGAAATTCTTTGTGGTCCAAGAGGAACCAACCTACACGAAAGTCAATGTGGTTACAGAGAACTAACCTCACTGAAGTTCTATGTGGTCCCAGAGGAACCAACCTACACGAAAGTCAATGTGGTTACAGAGGAACTAACCTCACTGAAGTTCTATGTGGTCCCAGAGGAACCAACCTCACTGAATTTCATGTGGTCCCAGAGGAACCAGTCAATCAATGTGGTTACAGAAGAACTAACCTCACTGAAATTCTATGTGGTCCCAGAGGAACCAACCTACACGAAAGTCAATGTGGTTACAGAGGAACTAACCTCACTGAAATTCTATGTGGTCCCAGAGGAACCAACCCACACGAAAGTCAATGTGGTTACAGAGGAACCAACCTCACTGAAATTCTATGTGGTCCCAGAGGAACCAACCAATTTCTACACGAAAGTCAATGTGGTTACAGAGGAACCAACCTCACTGAAATTCTTTGTGGTCCAAGAGGAACCAACCTCCCCGAAAGTCAATGTGGTTACAGAGGAACTAACCTCACTGAAATTCTATGTGTTCCCAGAGGAACCAACCTCACTGAATTTCTATGTTGTCCTAGAGGGACCAACCCACACGAAAGTCAATGTGGTTACGGAGGAGCCAACCTCACTGAAATTCTATGTGGTCCCAGAGGAACCAACCTCCCCGAAAGTCAATGTGCTTACAGAGGAACTAACCTCACTGAAGTTCTATGAATTTCTGGTCCCAGAGGAAACCAACCTACAAATTCAATGTAGTTACAGAGGGCCCAGAGGAGTGGAACCTCACTGAAATTCTTTGTGGTCTCAGAGGAACCAACCTCACTGAATTTCTATGTGGTCCCATAGGAACCAACCCACACGAAAATCAATGTGGTTACAGAGGAACTAACCTCACTGAAATTCTATGTGGTCCCAGAGGAACCAACCTCCCCGAATGTCAATGTGGTTACAGAGGAACTAACCTCACTGAAATTCTATGTGGTCCCAGAGGAACCAACCTCACTGAATTTCTATGTGGTCCCAGAGGAACCAACCCACACGAAAGTCAATGTGGTTACAGAGGAACCAACCTCACTGAATTTCTATGTGGTCCCACACGAGGATGTGGTTACCAACCTCCTACATGTGGTCGAACCAACCCACACGAAAGTCAATGTGGTTACAGAGGAACCAACCTCACTGAAATTCTATGTGGTCCCAGAGGAACCAACCTCACTGAATTTCTATGTGGTCCCAGAGGAACCAACCTCACTGAAATTCAATGTGGTCCCAGAGGAACCAACCTCACTGAATTTCTATGTGGTCCCAGAGGAACCAACCTCCCTGAAAGTCAATGTGGTTACAGAGGAACCAACCAACCACTGAATTTCTATGTGGTCCCAGAGGAACCAACCTACACGAAAGTCAATGTGGTTACAGAGGAACTAACCTCACTGAAATTCTATGTGGTCCCAGAGGAACCAACCTCACCCGAAAAGTCAATGTGGTCCCAGAGGAACTAACCTCACTGAAATTCTATGTGGTCCCAGAGGAACCAACCTCACTGAATTTCTATGTGGTCCCAGAGGAACCAACCCACACGAAATTCAATGTGGTTACAGAGGAACCAACCTCCCTGAATTTCAATGTGTTCCCAGAGGAATTAACCTCTATGTGGAGGAACCAACCTCACTGAATTTCTATGTGGTCCCAGAGGAACCAACCCCACACGAAAGTCAATGTGGTTACAGAGGAACCAACCTCACTGAAATTCTATGTGGTCCCAGAGGAACCAACCTACACGAAAAGTCAATGTGGTTACAGAGGAACCAACCTCACTGAAATTCTATGTGGTCCCAGAGGAACCAACCTCCACGAAAGTCAATGTGGTTACAGAGGAACCAACCTCACTGAAGTTCTATGTGGTCCCAGAGGAACCAACCTCCTGAATTTCAATGTGGTTACAGAGGAACTAACCTCACTGAAATTCTATGTTCCAGAGGAACCAACCTCACGAAGATTTCCATGTGGTCCCAGAGGAACCAACCTACACGAAATTCAATGTGGTTCCCAGAGGAACCAACCAACCTCACTGAATTTCTATGTGGTCCCAGAGGAACCAACCCACACGAAAGTCAATGTGGTTACGGAGGAGCCAACCTCACTGAAATTCTATGTGGTCCCAGAGGAACCAACCTCCCCGAAAGTCAATGTGGTTACAGAGGAACTAACCTCACTGAAATTCTATGTGGTCCCAGAGGAACCAACCTACACGAAAGTCAATGTGGTTACAGAGGAACTAACCTCACTGAAATTCTATGTGGTCCCAGAGAACCAACTTCAGAGGAACCAACCTCAATTTCTCTGTGGTCCCAGAGGAACCAACCCACACGAAATTCAATGTGGTTACAGAGGAACCAACCTCACTGAATTTCTATGTGGTCCCAGAGGAACCAACCCACACGAAAGTCAATGTGATTACAGAGGAACCAACCTCACTGAAGTTCTATGTGGTGGTCCCAGAGGAACCAACCCACACGAAAGTCAATGTGGTTACAGAGGAACTAACCTCTGAACTATGTGGTGAATTTCTATGTGGTCCCAGAGGAACCAACCTCCCTTGAAAGTCAATGTGGTTACAGAGGAACCAACCTCACTGAATTTCTATGTGGTCCCAGAGGAACCAACCCACACGAAAGTCAATGTGGTTACAGAGGAACTAACCTCACTGAAATTCTATGTGGTCCCAGAGGAACCAACCTCCACTGAAAGTCAATGTGGTTACAGAGGAACTAACCCACTGAAATTCTATGTGGTCCCAGAGGAACCAACCTCACTGAATTTCTATGGTCCCAGAGGAACCAAGTCAATGAAAGTCAATGTGGTTACAGGAACCAACCTCACTGAAATTCTATGTGGTCCCAGAGGAACCAACCCACACGAAAGTCAATGTGGTTACAGAGGAACCAACCTCACTGAAATTCTATGTGGTCCCAGAGGAACCAACCTACGAAAGTCAAGAGGAACTAACCTCACTGAAATTCTATGTGGTCCCAGAGGAACCAACCTCCCGAAAGTCAATGTGGTTACAGAGGAACCAACCTCACTGAAATTCTATGTGGTCCCAGAGGAACCAACCTCACTGAATTTCAATGTGGTTACAGAGGAACCAACCTCACTGAAATTCTATGTGGTCCCAGAGGAACCAACCTCACTGAAGTTCTATGTGGTCCCAGAGGAACCAACCCACACGAAATTCAATGTGGTCCCAGAGGAACCAACCTCACTGAATTTCTATGTTGGTCCCAGAGGAACCAACCCACACGAAAGTCAATGTGGTTACAGAGGAACCAACCTCACTGAAATTCTATGTGGTCCCAGAGGAACCAACCTCACTGAAAGTCAATGTGGTTACAGAGGAACCAACCTCACTGAAAGTTCTATGTGGTCCCAGAGGAACCAACCTCACACGAAATTCAATGTGGTTACAGAGGAACCAACCTCACTGAAGTTCTATGTGGTCCCAGAGGAACCAACCTACACAAAAGTCAATGTGGTTACAGAGGAACCAACCTCACTGAAATTCTATGTGGTCCCAGAGGAACCAACCTCACTGACTGAATTTCTATGTGGTCCCAGAGGAATGTGGTTACAGAGGAACTAACCTCACTGAAATTCTATGTGGTCTAGAGGAACCAAAGAAGTTCATGTAATCCCAGAGGAACCAACCTCACTGAAGAATTCAATGTGGTTACAGGAACCAACCTCACTGAAATTCTAATGGTGAACCAACCTCCCAGAGGAGGAACTAACCTCACTGAAGTTCTATGTGGTCCCAGAGGAACCAACCCACACGAAAGTCAATGTGGTTACAGAGGAACCAACCTCACTGAAATTCTATGTGGTCCCAGAGGAACCAACCTACAAAATTTCAATGTATTACAGAGGAACTAACCTCAATGAGTTTTATGTGGTCCCAGAGGAACCAACCTCACTGAAATTCTATGTGGTTCCCAGAGGAACCAACCTACTGAAAAGTCAATGTGGTCCCAGAGGAACTAACCTCACTGAAGAGGAATGTGGTCCCAGAGGAACCAACCTACACGAAAGTCAATGTGGTTACAGAGGAACTAACCTCACTGAAGTTCTATGTGGTCCCAGAGGAACCAACCTACACGAAAGTCAATGTGGTTACAGAGGAACCAACCTCACTGAAATTCTATGTGGTCCCAGAGGAACCAACCTCACTGAAGTTCTATGTGGTCCCAGAAAGTCGAAAGTGTGGTTACAGAGGAACTAACCTCACTGAAGTTCTATGTGGTCCCAGAGGAACCAACTACACGAAAGTCAATGTGGTTACAGAGGAACTAACCTCACTGAAGTTCTATGTGGTCCCAGAGGAACCAACCACACGAAACAACGAAACCTCAATGTGGTCCCAGAGGAACCAACCTCACTGAAGTTCTATGTGGGTCCCAGAGGAACCAACCTACACGAAAGTCAATGTATGGTTTACAGAGGAACTAACCTCACTGAAGTTCTATGTGGTCCCAGAGGAACCAACCTACACGAAAGTCAATGTGGTTACAGAGGAACTAACCTCACTGAAATTCTATGTGGTCCCAGAGGAACCAACCTACACGAAAGTCAATGTGGTTACAGAGGAACTAACCTCACTGAAGTTCTATGTGGTCCCAGAGGAACCAACCTCCCCGAAAGTCAATGTGGTTACAGAGGAACTAACCTCACTGAAATTCTTTGTGGTCCCAGAGGAACCAACCTACACGAAAGTCAATGTGGTTACAGAGGAACTAACCTCACTGAAGTTCTATGTGGTCCCAGAGGAACCAACCTACACGAAAGTCAATGTGGTTACAGATGAACCAACCTCACTGAAATTCTATGTGGTCCCAGAGGAACCAACCTCCCCGAAAGTCAATGTGGTTACAGAGGAACTAACCTCACTGAAGTTCTATGTGGTCCCAGATGAACCAACCTACACAAAAGTCAATGTGGTTACAGAGGAACTAACCTCACTGAAATTCTATGTGGTCCCAGATGAACCAACCTACACGAAAATGTCAATGTGGTTACAGAGGAACCAACCTCACTGAAGTTCTATGTGGTCCCAGAGGAACCAACCTACACGAAAGTCAATGTGGTTACAGAGGAACTAACCTCACTGAAGTTCTATGTGGTCCCAGAGGAACCAACCTCCCACGAAAGTCAATGTGGTTACAGAGGAACCAACCTCACTGAAGTTCTATGTGGTCCCAGAGGAACCAACCTACACGAAAGTCAATGTGGTTACAGAGGAACTAACCTCACTGAAGTTCTATGTGGTCCCAGAGGAACCAACCTACACGAAAGTCAATGTGGTTACAGAGGAACTAACCTCACTGAAGTTCTATGTGGTCCCAGAGGAACCAACCTCCCCGAAAGTCAATGTGGTTACAGAGGAACTAACCTCACTGAAGTTTCTATGTGGTCCCAGAGGAACCAACCTACACGAAAAGTCAATGTGGTTACAGAGGAACTAACCTCACTGAAGTTCTGTGGTCCCAGAGGAACCAACCTCCACGAAAGTCAATGTGGTTACAGAGGAACTAACCTCACTGAAGTTCTATGTGGTCCCAGAGGAACCAACCTACACGAAAGTCAATGTGGTTACAGAGGAACTAACCTCACTGAAGTTCTATGTGGTCCCAGAGGAACCAACCTACACGAAAGTCAATGTGGTTATGTGGTCCCAGAGGAACCAACCTCACTGAAGTTCTATGTGGTCCCAGAGGAACCAACCTACACGAAAGTCAATGTGGTTACAGAGGAACTAACCTCACTGAAGTTCTATGTGGTCCCAGAGGAACCAACCTCCACGAAAGTCAATGTGGTTACAGAGGAACTAACCTCACTGAAGTTCTATGTGGTCCCAGAGGAACCAACCCACACGAAAGTCAATGTGGTTACAGAGGAACTAACCTCACTGAAGTTCTATGTGGTCCCAGAGGAACCAACCTACACGAAAGTCAATGTGGTTACAGAGGAACTAACCTCACTGAAGTTCTATGTGGTCCCAGAGGAACCAACCCTGAATGTCACGAAAGTCAATGTGAAGTTACAGAGGACCACTAACCTCACTGAAGTTCTATGTGGTCCCAGAGGAACCAACCTCCCCGAAAGTCAATGTGGTTACAGAGGAACTAACCTCACTGAAGTTCTATGTGGTCCCAGAGGAACCAACCTACACGAAAGTCAATGTGGTTACAGAGGAACTAACCTCACTGAAGTTCTATGTGGTCCCAGAGGAACCAACCTACACGAAAGTCAATGTGGTTACAGAGGAACTAACCTCACTGAAGTTCTATGTGGTCCCAGAGGAACCAACCTACACGAAAGTCAATGTGGTTACAGAGGAACTAACCTCACTGAAGTTCTATGTGGTCCCAGAGGAACCAACCTACACGAAAGTCAATGTGGTTACAGAGTAACTAACTTCACTGAAGTTCTATGTGGTCCCAGATGAACCAACCTACACGAAAGTCAATGTGGTTACAGAGGAACTAACCTCACTGAAGTTCTATGTGGTCCCAGAGGAACCAACTACACGAAAGTAACCCAATGTGGTTCTATGTGGTCCCAGAGGAACCAAACCTCACTGAAGTTCTATGTGGTCCCAGAGGAACCAACCTACACGAAAGTCAATGTGGTTACAGAGGAACTAACCTCACTGAAGTTCTATGTGGTCCCAGAGGAACCACCCTCACACGAAGTCAATGTGGTTACAGAGGAACTAACCTCACTGAAGTTCTATGTGGTCCCAGAGGAACCAACCTACACGAAAGTCAATGTGGTTACAGAGGAACTAACCTCACTGAAGTTCTATGTGGTCCCAGAGGAACCAACCTCCACGAAAGTCAATGTGGTTACAGAGGAACTAACCTCACTGAAGTTCTATGTGGTCCCAGAGGAACCAACCTACACGAAAGTCAATGTGGTTACAGAGGAACTAACCTCACTGAAGTTCTATGTGGTCCCAGAGGAACCAACCTACACGAAAGTCAATGTGGTTACAGAGGAACTAACCTCACTGAAGTTCTATGTGGTCCCAGAGGAACCAACCTACACGAAAGTCAATGGTTACAGAGGAACTAACCTCACTGAAGTTCTATGTGGTCCCAGAGGAACCAACCTACACGAAAGTCAATGTGGTTACAGAGGAACTAACCTCACTGAAGTTCTATGTGGTCCCAGAGGAACCAACCTACACGAAAGTCAATGTGGTTACAGAGGAACTAACCTCACTGAAGTTCTATGTGGTCCCAGAGGAACCAACCTACACGAAAGTCAATGTGGTTACAGAGGAACTAACCTCACTGAAGTTCTATGTGGTCCCAGAGGAACCAACCTACACGAAAGTCAATGTGGTTACAGAGGAACTAACCTCACTGAAGTTCTATGTGGTCCCAGAGGAACCAACCTCCCCGAAAGTCAATGTGGTTACAGAGGAACTAACCTCACTGAAGTTCTATGTGGTCCCAGAGGAACCAACCTACACGAAAGTCAATGTGGTTACAGAGGAACTAACCTCACTGAAGTTCTATGTGGTCCCAGAGGAACCAACCTACACGAATGTCAATGTGGTTACAGAGGAACTAACCTCACTGAAGTTCTATGTGGTCCCAGAGGAACCAACCTACACGAAAGTCAATGTGGTTACAGAGGAACTAACCTCACTGAAGTTCTATGTGGTCCCAGAGGAACCAACCTACACGAAAGTCAATGTGGTTACAGAGGAACTAACCTCACTGAAGTTCTATGTGGTCCCAGAGGAACCAACCTACACGAAAGTCAATGTGGTTACAGAGGAACTAACCTCACTGAAATTCTATGTGGTCCCAGAGGAACCAACCTCACGAAAGTCAATGTGGTTACAGAGGAACTAACCTCACTGAAGTTCTATGTGGTCCCAGAGGAACCAACCTACACGAAAGTCAATGTGGTTACAGAGGAACTAACCTCACTGAAGTTCTATGTGGTCCCAGAGGAACCAACCTCCCGAATGTCAATGTGGTTACAGAGGAACTAACTGAAATTCTTTTGTGGTCCCTCACTGAAGAGGAACTAACCTCACTGAAGTTCTATGTGGTCCCAGAGGAACCAACCCCACGAAAGTCAATGTGGTTACAGAGGAACTAACCTCACTGAAGTTCTATGTGGTCCCAGAGGAACCAACCTACACGAAAGTCAATGTGGTTACAGAGGAACCAACCTCACTGAAGTTCTATGTGGTCCCAGAGGAACCAACCTACACGAAAGTCAATGTGGTTACAGAGGAACCAACCTCACTGAAGTTCTATGTGGTCCCAGAGGAACCAACCTACACGAAAGTCAATGTGGTTACAGAGGAACTAACCTCACTGAAATTCTTTGTGGTCCAAGAGGAACCAACCTCCCCGAAAGTCAATGTGGTTACAGAGGAACTAACCTCACTGAAGTTCTATGTGGTCCCAGAGGAACCAACCTACACGAAAGTCAATGTTACAGAGGAACAACCTCACTGTTACAGTGGTCCCAGACCTCACTGAAGTCAATATGGGTCCCAGAGGAACCAACCTCACAGTTCGAAGAGACCAAGTCAATGTGGTTGTGGTTACAGAGGAACTAACCTCACTGAAGTTCTATGTGGTCCCAGAGGAACCAACCTACACGAAAGTCAATGTGGTTACAGAGGAACTAACCTCACTGAAGTTCTATGTGGTCCCAGAGGAACCAACCTACACGAAATTTCAATGTGGTTACAGAGGAACTAACCTCACTGAAGTTCTATGTGGTCCCAGAGGAACCAACCTCCCCGAAAGTCAATGTGGTTACAGAGGAACTAACCTCACTGAAGTTCTATGTGGTCCCAGAGGAACCAACCTACACGAAAGTCAATGTGGTTACAGAGGAACTAACCTCACTGAAGTTCTATGTGGTCCCAGAGGAACCAACCTACACGAAAGTCAATGTGGTTACAGAGGAACTAACCTCACTGAAGTTCTATGTGGTCCCAGAGGAACCAACCTCCCACGAAAGTCAATGTGGTTACAGAGGAACTAACCTCACTGAAGTTCTATGTGGTCCCAGAGGAACCAACCTCCACGAAAGTCAATGTGTGGTTACAGAGGAACTAACCTCACTGAAGTTCTATGTGGTCCCAGAGGAACCAACCTACACGAAAGTCAATGTGGTTACAGAGGAACTAACCTCACTGAAGTTCTATGTGGTCCCAGAGGAACCAACCTACACGAAAGTCAATGTGGTTACAGAGGAACTAACCTCACTGAAGTTCTATGTGGTCCCAGAGGAACCAACCTCCCCGAATGTCAATGTGCTTACAGAGGAACTAACCTCACTGAAGTTCTATGTGGTCCCAGAGGAACCAACCTCCACGAAAGTCAATGTGGTTACAGAGGAACTAACCTCACTGAAGTTCTATGTGGTCCCAGATGGAACCAACCTACACGAAAGTCAATGTGGTTACAGAGGAACTAACCTCACTGAAGTTTATGTGGTCCCAGAGGAACCAACCAACACGAAAGTCAATGTGGTTACAGAGGAACTAACCTCACTGAAGTTCTATGTGGTCCCAGAGGAACCAACCTACACGAAAGTCAATGTGGTTACAGAGGAACTAACCTCACTGAAATTCTATGTGGTCCCAGAGGAACCAACCTCCCGAAAGTCAATGTGGTTACAGAGGAACTAACCTCACTGAAGTTCTATGTGGTCCCAGAGGAACCAACCTACGAAAACACGAAAGTCAATGTGGTTACAGAGGAACTAACCTCACTGAAGTTCTATGTGGTCCCAGAGGAACCAACCTACACGAAAGTCAATGTGGTTACAGAGGAACTAACCTCACTGAAGTTCTATGTGGTCCCAGAGGAACCAACCTACACGAAAGTCAATGTGGTTACAGAGGAACTAACCTCACTGAAGTTCTATGTGGTCCCAGAGGAACCAACCACGAAAGTCAATGTGGTTACAGAGGAACTAACCTCACTGAAGTTCTATGTGGTCCCAGAGGAACCAACCTACACGAAAGTCAATGTGGTTACAGAGGAACTAACCTCACTGAAGTTCTATGTGGTCCCAGAGGAACCAACCTACACGAAAGTCAATGTGGTTACAGAGGAACTAACCTCACTGAAGTTCTATGTGGTCCCAGAGGAACCAACCTACACGAAAGTCAATGTGGTTACAGAGGAACTAACCTCACTGAAGTTCTATGTGGTCCCAGAGGAACCAACCTCCCCTGAATGTCAATGTGGTTACAGAGGAACTAACCTCACTGAAGTTCTATGTGGTCCCAGAGGAACCAGAACCAACCTACACGAAAGTCAATGTGGTTACAGAGAACTAACCTCACTGAAGTTCTATGTGGTCCCAGAGGAACCAACCTCCCACGAAAGTCAATGTGGTTACAGAGGAACTAACCTCACTGAAGTTCTATGTGGTCCCAGATGAACCAACCTACACGAAAGTCAATGTGGTTACAGAGTAACTAACTTCACTGAAGTTCTATGTGGTCCCAGATGAACCAACCTACACGAAAGTCAATGTGGTTACAGAGGAACTAACCTCACTGAAGTTCTATGTGGTCCCAGAGGAACCAACCTACACGAAAGTCAATGTGGTTACAGAGGAACTAACCTCACTGAAGTTCTATGTGGTCCCAGAGGAACCAACCTACACGAAAGTCAATGTGGTTACAGAGGAACTAACCTCACTGAAGTTCTATGTGGTCCCAGAGGAACCAACCTACACGAATGTCAATGTGGTTACAGAGGAACTAACCTCACTGAAGTTCTATGGTCCCAGACCAACTCCCCAGAACTAAATATGAACCAAGCTACACGAAAGTCAATGTGGTTAACAGAGGAACTAACCTCACTGAAGTTCTATGTGGTCCCAGAGGAACCAACCTACACGAATGTCAATGTGGTTACAGAGGAACTAACCTCACTGAAGTTCTATGTGGTCCCAGAGGAACCAACCTCCCCGAATGTCAATGTGCTTACAGAGGAACTAACCTCACTGAAGTTCTATGTGGTCCCAGATGAACCAACCTCCCCGAATGTCAATGTGCTTACAGAGGAACTAACCTCACTGAAGTTCTATGTGGTCCCAGAGGAACCAACCTACACGAAAGTCAATGTGGTTACAGAGGAACTAACCTCACTGAAGTTCTATGTGGTCCCAGAGGAACCAACCTACACGAAAGTCAATGTGGTTACAGAGGAACTAACCTCACTGAAGTTCTATGTGGTCCCAGAGGAACCAACCTACACGAAAGTCAATGTGGTTACAGAGGAACTAACCTCACTGAAGTTCTATGTGGTCCCAGAGGAACCAACCTACACGAAAGTCAATGTGGTTACAGAGGAACTAACCTCACTGAAGTTCTATGTGGTCCCAGAGGAACCAACCTACACGAAAGTCAATGTGGTTACAGAGGAACTAACCTCACTGAAGTTCTATGTGGTCCCAGAGGAACCAACCTCCCGAAAGTCAATGTGGTTACAGAGGAACTAACCTCACTGAGTTCTGAACCAAACCCACACGTTCTATGTGGTCCCCAGAGGAACCAACCTACACGAATGTCAATGTGGTTACAGAGGAACTAACCTCACTGAAGTTCTGTGGTCCCAGAGGAACCAACCTCCCTGAAAGTCAATGTGGTTACAGAGGAACTAACCTCACTGAAGTTCTATGTACACGAAAGTCAATGTGGTTACAGAGGAATTAACCTCACTGAAGTTCTATGTGGTCCCAGAGGAACCAACCTACACGAAAGTCAATGTGGTTACAGAGGAACTAACCTCACTGAAGTTCTATGTGGTCCCAGAGGAACCAACCTACACGAAAGTCAATGTGGTTACAGAGGAACTAACCTCACTGAAGTTCTATGTGGTCCCAGAGGAACCAACCTCCACGAAAGTCAATGGTTACAGAGGAACTAACCTCACTGAAAGTTTCTGTGGTCCCAGAGGAACCAACCTACACAAAAGTTCAACCTGTGAAGTTCTGTGGTCCCAGAGGAACCTAACGAAAGTCAAAATGTGGTTACAGGAGGAACTAACCTCACTGAAGTTCTATGTGGTCCCAGAGGAACCAACCTACACGAAAGTCAATGTGGTTACAGAGGAACTAACCTCACTGAAGTTCTATGTGGTCCCAGAGGAACCAACCTTCACGAAAGTCAATGTGGTTACAGAGGAACTAACCTCACTGAAGTTCTATGTGGTCCCAGAGGAACCAACCTACTGAAAGTCAATGTGGTTACAGAGGAACCAACCTCACTGAAGTTCTATGTGGTCCCAGAGGAAACCAACCAACACGAAATGTCAATGTGGTTACAGAGGAACTAACCTCACTGAAGTTCTATGTGGTCCCAGAGGAACCAACCTCAACACGAAAGTCAATGTGGTTACAGAGGAACTAACCTCACTGAAGTTCTATGTGGTCCCAGAGGAACCAACCTACACGAAAGTCAATGTGGTTACAGAGGAACTAACCTCACTGAAGTTCTATGTGGTCCCAGAGGAACCAACCTACACGAAAGTCAATGTGGTTACAGAGGAACTAACCTCACTGAAGTTCTATGTGGTCCCAGAGGAACCAACCTACACGAAAGTCAATGTGGTTACAGAGGAACTAACCTCACTGAAGTTCTATGTGGTCCCAGAGGAACCAACCTACACGAAAGTCAATGTGGTTACAGAGGAACTAACCTCACTGAAGTTCTATGTGGTCCCAGAGGAACCAACCTACCTGAATGTCAATGTGGTTACAGAGGAACTAACCTCACTGAAGTTCTATGTGGTCCCAGAGGAACCAACCTACACGAAAGTCAATGTGGTTACAGAGGAACTAACCTCACTGAAGTTCTATGTGGTCCCAGAGGAACCAACCTACACGAAAGTCAATGTGGTTACAGAGGAACTAGTTCTATGTGGTCCTCACTGAAGTTCTATGTGGTCCCAGAGGAACCAACCCACACGAAAGTCAATGTGGTTACAGAGGAACTAACCTCACTGAAGTTCTATGTGGTCCCAGAGGAACCAACCTACACGAAAATGTCAATGTGGTTACAGAGGAACTAACCTCACTGAAGTTCTATGTGGTCCCAGAGGAACCAACCTACACGAAAGTCAATGTGGTTACAGAGGAACTAACCTCACTGAAGTTCTATGTGGTCCCAGAGGAACCAACCTACACGAAAGTCAATGTGGTTACAGAGGAACTAACCTCACTGAAGTTCTATGTGGTCCCAGAGGAACCAACCTACACGAAAGTCAATGTGGTTACAGAGGAACTAACCTCACTGAAGTTCTATGTGGTCCCAGAGAACCAACCTACACGAAAGTCAATGTGGTTACAGAGGAACTAACCTCACTGAAGTTCTATGTGGTCCCAGAGGAACCAACCTACACGAAAAGTCAATGGTTACAGAGGAACTAACCTCACTGAAGTTCCCAGAGGAACCAAGGAACCAACAATGGTTACAGAGGAAATCCACACGAAAGTCAATGTGGTTACAGAGGAACTAACCTCACTGAAGTTCTATGTGGTCCCAGAGGAACCAACCACACGAAAGTCAATGTGGTTACAGAGGAACTAACCTCACTGAAGTTCTATGTGGTCCCAGAGGAACCAACCTCACTGAAATGTCAATGTGGTTACAGAGGAACTAACCTCACTGAAAGTCTATGTGGTCCCAGAGGAACCAACCTACCTGAATGTCAATGTGGTTACAGAGGAACTAACCTCACTGAAGTTCTATGTGGTCCCAGAGGAACCAACCTCACGAAATTCAATGTGGTTACAGAGGAACTAACCTCACTGAAGTTCTATGTGGTCCCAGAGAACCAACCTCCCGAATGTCAATGTGGTTACAGAGGAACTAACCTCACTGAAGTTCTATGTGGTCCCAGAGGAACCAACCTCCCACGAATGTCAATGTGGTTACAGAGGAACTAACCTCACTGAAGTTTTATGTGGTCCCAGAGGAACCAACCTACACGAAAGTCAATGTGGTTACAGAGGAACTAACCTCACTGAATTTCTATGTGGTCCCCAGAGGAACCAACCCACACGAAAGTCAATGTGGTTACAGAGGAACTAACCTCACTGAAGTTCTATGTGGTCCCAGAGGAACCAACCTACACGAAAGTCAATGTGGTTACAGAGGAACTAACCTCACTGAAGTTCTATGTGGTCCCAGAGGAACCAACCTCCTGAAAGTCAATGTGTTTACAGAGGAACTAACCTCACTGAAGTTCTATGTGGTCCCAGAGAACCAACCTACACGAAAGTAATTCAATGTGGTTACAGAGGAACTAACCTCACTGAAGTTCTATGTGGTCCCAGATGAACCAACCCACACGAAAGTCAATGTGGTTACAGAGGAACTAACCTCACTGAAGTTCTATGTGGTCCCAGAGGAACCAACCTACACGAAAGTCAATGTGCTTACAGAGGAACTAACCTCACTGAAATTCTATGTGGTCCCAGAGGAACCAACCTACACGAAAGTCAATGTGCTTACAGAGGAACTAACCTCACTGAAGTTCTATGTGGTCCCAGAGGAACCAACCTACACGAAATTCATGTGGTTACAGAGGAACTAACCTCACTGAAGTTCTATGTGGTCCCAGAGGAACCAACCCACACGAAAGTCAATGTGGTTACAGAGGAACTAACCTCACTGAAATTCTATGTGGTCCCAGAGGAACCAACCTACGAGTCAATGGTTACAGAGGAACTAACCTCACTGAAGTTCTATATGTGGTCCCAGAGGAACCAACCCACACGAAAGTCAATGTGGTTACAGAGGAACTAACCTCACTGAAGTTCTATGTGGTCCCAGATGAACAACAACGATGAAAGTCAATGTGAAGGAACTAACCTCACTGAAGTTCTATGTGGTCCCAGAGGAACCAACCTCCCCACCAAAGTTCTATGTTTTCCCAGAGGAACTAACACTGAAGTTCTATGTGGTCCCAGAGGAACCAACCTACACGAAAAGTCAATGTGGTTACAGAGGAACTAACCTCACTGAAGTTCTATGTGGTCCGGAGAGGAACCAACCTACACGAAAGTCAATGTGGTTACAGAGGAACTAACCTCACTGAAGTTCTATGTGGTCCCAGAGGAACCAACCATACGAAAGTCAATGTGTTTACAGAGGAACCAACCTCACTGAAGTTCTATGTGGTCCCAGAGGAACCAACCCACACGAATGTCAATGTGGTTACAGAGGAACTAACCTCACTGAAGTTCTATGTGGTCCCAGAGGAACCAACCTACCCGAAAGTCAATGTGGTTACAGAGGAACTAACCTCACTGAAGTTCTATGTGGTCCCAGATGAACCAACCTACACGAATGTCAATGTGGTTACAGAGGAACTAACCTCACTGAAGTTCTATGTGGTCCCAGAGGAACCAACCTACCCGAGAAAGTCAATGTGGTTTACAGATGAACTAACCTCACTGAAGTTCTATGTGGTCCCAGAGGAACCAACCACACGAAAGTCAATGTGGTTACAGAGGAACTAACCTCACTGAAGTTCTATGTGGTCCCAGAGGAACCAACCTACACGAAAGTCAATGTGGTTACAGAGGAACTAACCTCACTGAAGTTCTATGTGGTCCCAGAGGAACCAACCTACGAAAGTCAATGGTTACAGAGGAACTAACCTCACTGAAGTTCTATGTGGTCCCAGAGGAACCAACCTACACGAAAGTCAATGTGGTTACAGAGGAACTAACCTCACTGAAGTTCTATGTGGTCCCAGAGGAACCAACCTGCACGAAAGTCAATGTGGTTACAGAGGAACTAACCTCACTGAAGTTTATATGGTCCAGAGGAACCAACCTACACGAATGTCAATGTGGTTACAGAGGAACTAACCTCACTGAAGTTCTATGTGGTCCCAGAGGAACCAACCTACACGAAAGTCAATGTGGTTACAGAGGAACTAACCTCACTGAAGTTCTATGTGGTCCCAGAGGAACCAACCTACACGAAAGTCAATGTGGTTACAGAGGAACTAACCTCACTGAAGTTCTATGTGGTCCCAGAGGAACCAACCTACACGAAAGTCAATGTGGTTACAGAGGAACCAACCTCACTGAGTTCTATGTGGTCCCAGAGGAACCAACCCACACGAAAGTCAATGTGGTTACAGAGGAACTAACCTCACTGAAGTTCTATGTGGTCCCAGAGGAACCAACCTACACGAAAGTCAATGTGGTTACAGAGGAACTAACCTCACTGAAGTTCTATGTGGTCCCAGAGGAACCAACCTACACGAAAGTCAATGTGGTTACAGAGGAACTAACCTCACTGAAGTTCTATGTGGTCCCAGAGGAACCAACCTACACGAAAGTCAATGTGGTTACAGAGGAACTAACCTCACTGAAGTTCTATGTGGTCCCAGAGGAACCAACCTACACGAAAGTCAATGGTTACAGAGGAACTAACCTCACTGAAGTTCTATGTGGTCCCAGAGGAACCAACCTACACGAAAGTCAAATGTGGTTACAGAGGAACTAACCTCACTGAAGTTCTATGTGGTCCCAGAGGAACCAACCTACACGAAAGTCAATGTGGTTACAGAGGAACTAACCTCACTGAAGTTCTATGTGGTCCCAGAGGAACCAACCTACACGAAAGTCAATGTGGTTACAGAGGAACTAACCTCACTGAAGTTCTATAGGTCCCAGAGGAACCAACCTACACGAAAGTCAATGTGGTTACAGAGGAACCAACCTCACTGAAGTTCTATGTGGTCCCAGAGGAACCAACCTCACGAAAGTCAATGTGGTTACAGAGGAACTAAACCTCACTGAAGTTCTATGGTCCCAGAGGAACCAACCCCGAAAGTCAATGTGGTTACAGAGGAACTAACCTCACTGAAGTTCTATGTGGTCCCAGAGGAACCAACCTACACGAAAGTCAATGTGGTTACAGAGGAACTAACCTCACTGAAATTCTATGTGGTCCCAGAGGAACCAACCTACACGAAAGTCAATGTGGTTACAGAGGAACTAACCTCACTGAAGTTCTATGTGGTCCCAGAGGAACCAACCTACACGAAAGTCAATGTGGTTACAGAGGAACTAACCTCACTGAAGTTTCTATGGTCCCAGAGGAACCAACCTACACGAAAGTCAATGTGGTTACAGAGGAACTAAACTCACTGAAGTTCATGTGGAGGAACCAACCTCAATGTGCTTACAGAGGAACTAACCTCACTGAAGTTCTATGTGGTCCCAGATGAACCAACCTACACGAAAGTCAATGTGGTTACAGAGGAACTAACCTCACTGAAATTCTATGTGGTCCCAGAGGAACCAACCTCCCCGAATGTCAATGTGCTTACAGAGGAACTAACCTCACTGAAGTTCTATGTGGTCCCAGAGGAACCAACCTACACGAAAGTCAATGTGGTTACAGAGGAACTAACCTCACTGAAGTTCTATGTGGTCCCAGAGGAACCAACTACACGAAAGTCACATGGAGGAACCAACCTCCTGAAATTCTATGTGGTCCCAGAGGAACCAACCTCCCTGAAAGTCAATGTGGTATACAGAGGAACTAACCTCACTGAAGTTCTATGGTCCCAGAGGAACCAACCCCACACGAAAGTCAATGTGGTTACAGAGAGGAACTAACCTCAGAGGAACGAACCTCACTGAATTTCTATGTGGTCCCAGAGGAACCAACCTACAGAAAAGTCTGAAATGTGGTTACAGAGGAACCAACCCCACTGAAATTCTGTGGTCCCAGAGGAACCAACCTACACGAAAGTCAATGTGGTTACAGAGGAACTAACAGAATTCTTTGATTTCCCACTGAATTTCTATGTGGTCCCAGAGGAACCAACCCACACGAAAGTCAATGTGGTTACAGAGGAACTAACCTCACTGAAGTTCTATGTGGTCCCAGAGGAACCAACCTCCACGAAAGTCAATGTGGTTACAGAGGAACTAACCTCACTGAAGTTCTATGTGGTCCCAGAGGAACCAACCTACACGAAAGTCAATGTGGTTACAGAGGAACTAACCTCACTGAAATTCTATGTGGTCCCAGAGGAACCAACCTACTGAAAGTCAATGTGGTTACAGGATGAGCCAACCTCCTGAAATTCTATGTGGTCCCAGAGGAACTAACCTCACTGAAGTTCTATGTGGTCCCAGAGGAACCAACCTACACGAAAGTCAATGTGGTTACAGAGGAACTAACCTCACTGAAATTCTTGTGGTCCCAGAGAACCAACCTCCACGAAAGTCAATGGTTACAGAGGAACTAACTCACTGAAATTCTGGTCCCAGACTGAACCAACCACACGAAAGTCAATGTGGTTACAGAGGAACTAACCTCACTGAAGTTCTATGTGGTCCCAGAGGAACCAACCACACGAAAGTCAATGTGGTTACAGAGGAACGTTAACCTCACTGAAGTTCTATGTGGTCCCAGAGAACCAACCTACACGAAAGTCAATGTGGTTACAGAGGAACTAACCTCACTGAAGTTCTATGTGGTCCCAGAGGAACCAACCTACACGAAAGTCAATGTGGTTACAGAGGAACCAACCTCACTGAAATTCTTTGTGGTCCCAGAGGAACCAACCTACACGAAAGTCAATGTGGTTACAGAGGAACTAACCCTCACTGAAATTCTATGTGGTCCCAGAGGAACCAACCTCACGGAAATTCAATGTGGTCCCCAGAGGAACCAACCACGAATGTCAATGTGAATGTCAATTTACAGAGGACTAACTCACTGAAGTTCTATGTGGTCCCAGAGGAACCAACCACACGAAAGTCAATGTGGTTACAGAGGAACTAACCTCACTGAAATTCTATGTGGTCCCAGAGGAACCAACCTACACGAAAGTCAATGTGGTTTACAGAGGAACCTCCTCACTGAAATTCTATGTGGTCCCAGAGGAACCAACCTCCCAATGTGGTTACAGAGGAACTATCCTGAAATTGGTGGTCCCAGATGTCCCGAATGTCTATGTGGTTACAGAGGAACTAACCTCACTGAAGTTCTATGGTCCCAGAGGAACCAACCTACACGAAAGTCAATGTGGTTACAGAGGAACTAACCTCACTGAAGTTCTATGTGGTCCCAGAGGAACCAACCTACACGAAAGTCAATGTCATACAGAGGAACCAACCTCACTGGTTGTGGTCCCAGAGGAACCAACCACACGAAAGTCACTGAGAGAAGATCCAACCTCACTGAAATTCTATGTGTGGTCCCAGAGGAACCAACCTCCCCGAAAGTCAATGTGGTTACAGAGGTTCCAACCTCACTGAAGTTCTATGTGGTCCCAGAGGAAACCAACCTCCCCGAAAGTCAATGTGGTTACAGAGGAACTAACCTCACTGAAGTTTTATGTGGTCCCAGAGGAACCAACCCACACGAAAATCAATGTGGTTACAGAGGAACTAACTCACTGAAATTTATTGTGGTCCAAGAGGAACCAACCTCCCGAGAAAGTCAATGTGGAGGAACCAACCTCACTGAAATTCTATGTGGTCTATGTGGTCCCAGAGGAACCAACCACACGAAAGTCAATGTGCTTACAGAGGAACTAACCTCACTGAAGTTCTATGTGGTCCCAGAGGAACCAACCTACACGAAAGTCAATGTGGTTACAGAGGAACTAACCTCACTGAAATTCTATGTGGTCCCAGAGGAACCAACCTCCCCGAATGTCAATGTGGTTACAGAGAACTAACCTCACTGAAATTCTATGTGGTCCCAGAGGAACCAACCTACACTGAAAGTCAATGTGGTTACAGAGGAACCAACCTCACAAAATTCTATGTGGTCCCAGAGGAACCAACCTCCACGAATGTCAATGTGGTTTCAGAGGAACTAACCTCACTGAATTTATGTGGTTACAGAGGAACCAACCTGAAGGAACCAACCTACACGAAAGTCAATGTGGTTACAGAGGAACTAACCTCACTGAAGTTCTATGTGGTCCCAGAGGAACCAACCTCCACGAAAGTCAATGTGGTTACAGAGGAACTAACCTCACTGAAATTCTATGTGGTCCCAGAGGAACCAACCTCCCCGAATGTCAATGTGCTTACAGAGGAACTAACCTCACTGAAGTTCTATGTGGTCCCAGAGGAACCAACCTACACGAAAGTCAATGTGGTTACAGAGGAACTAACCTCACTGAAGTTCTATGTGGTCCCAGAGGAACCAACCTACACGAAAGTCAATGTGGTTTACAGAGAACTAACCTCACTGAAATTCTATGTGGTCCCAGAGGAACCAACCTCCCGAAAGTCAATGTGGTTACAGAGGAACCAACCTCACTGAAAGTTTTAGTTCCCAGAGGTCCCCAGAGGAATGGTCCCAACCTACACGAAAGTCAATGTGGTTACAGAGGAACCAAAGTTCTATGTGTTCCCAGAGGAACTTCTATGAAATTCAATGTGGTTGGAGGAACCAACCTCACTGAAGTTTGTCAATCCAGAGGAACCAACCTACACGAAAGTCAATGTGGTTACAGAGAACTAACCTCACTGAAGTTCTATGTGGTCCCAGAGGGAACCAACATACACGAAAGTCAATGTGGTTACAGAACTAACCTCACTGAAGTTCTATGTGGTCCCAGAGGAACAATGTGATTAAGAGGAACTACACTGAAAGTTCAATGTGGTCCCAGAGGAACCAACCTCCTGAAGTTCTATGTGGTCAGAGGAACCAACCTCCACGAGAAAGTCAATGTGGTTACAGAGGAACTAACCTCACTGAAGTTCTATGTGGTCCCAGAGGAACCAACCTACACGAAAGTCAATGTGGTTACAGAGGAACTAACCTCACTGAAGTTCTATGTGGTCCCCCAACCTACACGGAACCAACCTACAGTTCTATGAACGTCAACCCACACGAAAGTTGGTTTCGGAGGAACTAACCTCACTGAAGTTCTATGTGGTCCCAGAGGAACCAACCTCCACGAAAGTCAATGTGGTTACAGAGGAACTAACCTCACTGAAGTTCTATGTGGTCCCAGAGGAACAAACCCGAAACTCAGAGGAACCAAATGTGGTGGTCACAGAGGAACTAACCTCACTGAAGTTCTATGTGGTCCCCAGAGGAACCAACCTACTGAAAGTCAATGTGGATTTACAGAGGAACTAACCTCACTGAAGTTCTATGTGGTCCCAGAGGAACCAACCTCACACGAATGTCAATGTGTTTACAGAGGAACTAACCTCACTGAAGTTCTATGTGGTCCCAGAGGAACCAACCTACACGAAAGTCACTGTGGTTACAGAGGAACTAACCTCACTGAAGTTCTATGTGGTCCCCAGAGGAACCAACCAGATGAATCCAACCTCACTGAAGTTCTATGTGGTCCCAGAGAGGAACCAACCTCACTGAAGTCAATGTGGTTACAGGAACCAACCTCACTGAAGTTCCCAGAGGAACCAACCTCCACGAAAGTCAATGTGGTTACAGAGGAACTAACCTCACTGAAGTTCTATGTGGTCCCAGAGGAACCAACCTACACTGAAAGTCAATGTGGTCCCAGAGGAACCAACCTCACTGAAGTTCTATGTGGTCCCAGAGGAACCAACCTCACGAAAGTCAATGTGGTTACAGAGGAACTAACCTCACTGAAGTTCTATGTGGTCCCAGAGGAACCAACCTACACGAATGTCAATGTGGTTACAGAGGAACTAACCTCACTGAAGTTCTATGTGGTCCCAGAGGAACCAACCTACACGAAAGTCAATGTGGTTACAGAGGAACCAACCTCACTGAAGTTCTATGTGGTCCCAGAGGAACCAACCTACACGAAAGTCAATAATGGTTACAGAGGAACTAACCTCACTGAAGTTCTATGTGGTCCCAGAGGAACCAACCTCCTAACGAAAGTCAATGTGGTTACAGAGGAACCAACCTCACTGAAGTTCTATGTGGTCCCAGAGGAACCAACCACACGAAAGTCAATGTGGTTACAGAGGAAACTAACCTCACTGAAGTTCTATGTGGTCCCAGAGGAACCAACCTCCACGAAAGTCAATGGTTACAGAGGAACTAACCCTCACTGAAGTTCTATGTGGGGTCCCAGAGGAACCAACCTACACGAAGTCAATGTGGTTACAGAGGAACCAACCTCACTGAAGTTCTATGTGGTCCCAGAGGAACCAACCTACACGAAAGTCAATGTGGTTACAGAGGAACTAACCTCACTGAAGTTCTATGTGGTCCCAGAGGAACCAACCCCACACGAAAGTCAATGTGGTTACAGAGGAAACCAACCTCACTGAAATTCTATGTGGTCCCAGAGGAACCAACATACAGGAAACCTCCCTGAGTTTTATGTGGTCCCAGAAACCAACCTACACAGAAATTCAATGTGGTTACAGAGGAACCAACCTCACTGAAGTTCTATGTGGTCCCAGAGGAACTGAACTACACGAAATCCAATGTGGTTACAGAGGAACTAACCTCACTGAAGTTCTATGGGTCCCAGAGGAACCAACCTACACGAATTTCAATGTGGTCCTAGAGGAACTAACCTCACTGAAGTTCTATGTGGTCCCAGAGGAACCAACCTACACGAATTTCAAGGGTCCCAGAGAACTAACCTGAAATTCTTTGTGGTCCCAGAGGAAACCAACCTACACATGTGGTTACAGAGAACAAACCTCATTGAAGTTCTATGTGGGTCCCAGAGGAACCAACCTACACGAAAGTCAATGTGGTTACAGAGGAGCCAACATCACTGAAGTTCTATGTGGTCCCAGAGGAACCAACCTACACGAAAGTCAATGTGGTTACAGAGGAACTAACCTCACTGAAGTTCCTATGTGGTCCCAGAGGAACCAACTACACGAAAGTCAATGTGGTTACAGAGAACCAACCTCACTGAAATTCTTTGTGGTCCCAGATGAACCAACTCCCGTCAGGGAACTATCCTCACTGAAATTCTATGTGGTTACAGAGGAACCAACCTCACTGAAGTTCTATGTGGTCCCAGAGGAACCAACCTACACGAAAGTCTATGTCATTTCAGAGGAACCAACCTCACGGAATTTCTATGTGGTCCCAGAGGGAACCAACCTACACGAAAGTCAATGTGGATACAGATGAACCAACCTCACTGAAATTCTATGTGGTCCCAGAGGAACAACCTCCCACGAAAGTCAATGTCATAAGAGGATCCAACCTCACTGAATTTCTATGTGGTCCCAGGAACCAACCCACACGAAATTCAATGTGGTTACAGAGGAACCAACCTCACTGAAATTCTATGGTCCCAGAGTGAACAACCTACAACGAAAGTCAATGTGCTTACAGAGGAACTAACCTCACTGAAGTTCTATGTGGTCCCAGAGGAACCAACCTACACGAAATTCAATGTGGTTACAGAGGAACTAACCTCACTGAAATTCTATGTGGTCCCAGAGGAAACCAACCTCCCGAAATCAATGTGGTTACAGAGGAACCAACCTGACTGTAATTCAATTGAGGAACTAACCACTGAAATTCTTGTGGTCCCAGAGGAACCAACCTCCCACGAAAGTCAATGTGGTTGTGGAAACCAACCTCAATTGAAGTTCTATGTGGTCCCAGAGGAACCAACATACACGAAAGTCAATGTGCTTACAGAGGAAACTAACCTCACTGAAGTTCTATGTGGTCCCAGAGGAACCAACCTACACGAAAGTCAATGTGGTTACAGAAGAACTAACCTCACTGAAGTTCTATGTGGTCCCAGAGGAACCAACCCACACGAAAGTCAATGTGATTCCCAGAGGACCAACCCACACGAAAATCTATGTGGAACTAACCTCACTGAAATTCTATGTGGTCCAAGAGGAACCAACCTCCTGAAAGTCAATGTGGTTACAGAGGAACCAACCTCACTGAAAGTCTATGTGGTCCCAGAGAACCAACCTCACTGGAAGTTCTATGTGGTCCCAGAGGAACCAACCTACACGAAAGTCAATGTGGTTACAGAGGAACCAACCTCACTGAGTTCTATGTGGTCCCAGAGAACCAACCCACACGAAAGTCAATGTGATTTACAGAGGAACTAACTCACTGAATTTCTATGTGGTCCCAGAGGAACCAACCTACACGAAAGTCATCAGGTTCACAGAAGATCCAACCTCACTGAATTTCTATGTGGTCCCAGAGGAACCACATCCCACCCGAAAGTCAATGTGTTACGGAGGAGCCAACTCACTGAAGTTCTATGTGGTCCCAGAGGAACCAACCTACACGAAAGTCAATGTGGTTACAGAGGAACCAACCTCACTGAAGTTTTATGTGGTCCCAGAGGAACCAACCACACGAAATTCAATGTGGTTACAGAGGAACTAACCTCACTGAAATTCTATGTGGTCCAAGAGGAACCAACCCCTGAAAGTCAATGGTTACAGAGGAACTAACCTCCTGTAATTCTATGGTGACAGGAGGAACCAACACTGAAATTCAATGTGGTCCAGAGGAACCAACCTACACGAAAGTCAATGTGGTTACAGAGGAACTAACCTCACTGAAGTTCTATGTGGTCCCAGAGGAACCTACACACGAAAGCCAATGTGGTTACAGGGTGAACTAACCTCACTGAAGTTCTATGGTCCCAGAGGAACCAACCTACACGAAAGTCAATGTGGTTACAGAGGAACTAACCTCACTGAAGTTCTATGTGGTCCCAGAGGAACCAACATACACGAAAGTCAATGTGGTTACAGAGGAACTAACCTCACTGAGGTTCTATGGTCCCAGGAACCAACCTGCACAGAAAGTCAATGTGGTTACAGGAAACTAACCTCACTGAGTTCTATGTGGTCCTGGAGGAACCAACCTACACGAAAGTCAATGTGGTTAGAGAGGAACCAACCTCACTGAAGTTCTATGTGGTCCCCAGAGGAACCAACCTACACGAAAGTCAATGTGGTTACAGAGGAACTAACCTCACTGAAGTTCTATGTGGTCCCAGAGGAAACCAACCTACACGAAAATCAATGTGGCATAGAGGAACTAACCCACTGAAGTTCTATGTGGTCCCAGAGAAAACCAACCTACGAAAGTCAATGTGGTTACAGAGAAACCAACCTTACTGAAGTTCTATGTGGTCCCAGAGGAACAGCCTACTCGAGAATCCAGTAATGATTTACAGAGAGGAACTAACCTCACTGAAGTTCTATGTGGTCCCAGAGGAACCAACCACGAAAGTCAATGTGGTTACAGAGGAACTAACCTCACTGAAGTTCTATGTGGTCCCAGAGGAACCAACCTACAATGAAAGTCAATGTGGTTACAGAGGAACCAACCTCACTGAAGTTCTATGTGGTCCCAGAGGAACCAACCCACACGAAAAAGTCAATGTGGTTACAGAGGAACTAACCTCACTGGAAGTTCTATGTGGTCCCAGAGGAAACCAACGAAGAAGTCCGAAAGTCAATGTGGTTACAGAGGAACTAACACCACTGAAGTTCTATGTGGTCCCAGAGGAACAACCTACACGAAAGTCAATGTGGTTTACCAGGAACTAACCTCACTGAAGTTCTATGTGGTCCCAGAGGAACCAACCTACACGAAAGTCAATGTGGTTACAGAGGAACTAACCTCACTGAAGTTCTATGTGGTCCCAGAGGAAACCAACCTACACGAAAGTCAATGTGGTTACAGAGAAACTAACCTCACTGAAGTTATGTGGTCCCAGAAGACCAACATCCCAGAGGAATTGAAGTTCTAGATGTCAATGTGGTTACAGAGGAACTAACCTCACTGAGTTCTATGTGGTCCCAGGAGGAACCAACCTGCAATGAAATCAATGTGGTTACAGAGGAGACTAACCTCTGAGTTCTATGTGGTCCCAGAGAGACAACCTACACGAAAGTCAATGTGGTTACAGGAGGAACTAACCTCACTGAAGTTCTATGTGGTCCCAGAGGAACCAACCTACACGAAAGTCAATGTGGTTACAGAGGAACTAACCTCACTGGAAGTTCTATGTGGTCCCAGAGGAAAACCAACCTACACGAAAGTCAATGTGGTTACAGAGGAACCAACCTCACTGAAGTTCTATGTGGTCCCAGAGGAACCAACCTACCCCGAAAGTCAATGTGGTTTACAAGAGGAACTAACCTCCTTGAAGTTCTATGTGGTCCCAGAGGAACCAACCTACACTAAAGTCAATGTGGTCCCAGAAGACAACCTACAGTCAAGGAACAAACCTCACTGAAGTTCTATGTGGTCCCAGAGGAACCAACCTACACGAATGTCAATGTGGTTACAGAGGAACTAACCTCACTGAAGTTCTATGTGGTCCCAGAGGAGACAACCTACAAAGTCAATGTGGTTTACAGAGGAACTAACCTACTGAAGTTCTATGTGGCCCCAGAGGAACCAACATACACGAAAGTCAATGTGGTTTACAGAGGAACTAACCTCACTGGAGTTCTATGTGGTCCCAGAGGAACCAACCTACACGAAAGTCAATGTGGTTACAGAGAACTAACCTCACTGAAGTTCTATGTGGTCCCAGAGGAACCAACCTACACGAAAAGTCACCGTGGTTACAGAGGAACTAACCTCACTGAGGTTCTATGTGGTCCCAGAGGAACCAACCTACGAAAGTCAATGTGGTTACAGAGGAACTAACCTCACTGAAGTTCTATGTGGTCCCAGAGGAACCAACCTACACGAAAGTCAATGTGATTTACAGAGGAACTAACCTCACTGAAGTTCTATGTGGTCCCAGAGGAACCAAATATACACGAAAGTCAATGTGGTTACAGAGGAACTAACCTCACTGAAGTTCTATGTGGTCCCAGAGGAACCAACCCACACGAAAGTCAATGTGGTTACAGAGGAAATTAACCTCACTGTGAAGTTCTATGTGGTCCAGAGGAACCAACCTACACGAAACCAATGTGGTTACAGGAACTACCTCACTGAAGTTCTATGTGGTCCCAGAGGAACCAACTCACACGAAAGTCAAGTTACAGAGGAACTAACCTCACTGAAGTTCTATGTGGTCCCCAGGAACCAACCTACACGAAAGTCAATGTGGTTACAGAGGAACTAACCTCACTGAAGTTCTATGTGGTCCCCAGAGGAACCAACCTACACGAAAGTCAATGTGTTACAGAGGAACTAACCTCACTGGAAGTTCTATGTGGTCCCAGAGGAACCAACCTACACGAAAGTCAATGTGGTTACAGAGGAACTAACTCACTGAAGTTCTATGTGGTCCCAGAGGAACCAAATATACACGAAAGTCAATGTGGTTACAGAGGAAATCCAACCTACTGAAGTTCTATGTGGTCCCAGAAGAACCAACCTACGAAAGTCAATGTGGTTACAGAGGAACTAAACCTCACTGAAGTTCTATGTGGTCCCAGAGGAACCAACCTACACGAAAGTCAGTGTGGTTACAGAGGAACTAACCTCACTGAAGTTCTATGTGGTCCCAGAGGAACCAACCTACACGAAAGTCAATGTGGTTACAGAGGAACTAACTCACTGAAGTTCTATGTGGTCCAGGAACCACACGAAAGTCAATGTGCTTACAGAGGAACTAACCTCACTGAAGTTCTATGTGGTCCCAGAGGACCAACCTACACGAAAGTCAATGTGGTTACAGAGGAACTAACCTCACTGAAGTTCTATGTGGTCCCAGAGTAAACCAACCTCCCCGAAAGTCAATGTGGTTACAGAGGAACTAACCTCCTGAAGTTCTATGTGGTCCCAGAGGAACCAACCTACACGAAAGTCAATGTGGTTACAGATAAACCAACTCACTGAAGTTCTATGTGGTCCCAGAGGAACCAACCACACGAAAGTCAATGTGGTTACAGGAGGAACCAATTTTTTTTTTTTCCCAGAGGAACCAACCTCACGAAAGTCTTTGTGGTCCAGGAGGAACCAACCTCACTGGGAGTTCTATGTGGTCCCAGAGGAACCAACCTACACACGAAAGTCAATGTGGTTACAGAGGAACTAACCTCACTGAATTCTATGTGGTCCCAGAGGAACCAACCTACACGAAAGTCAATGTGGTTTACAGAGGAACCAACCTCACTGAATTTCTATGGTCCCAGAGGAACCAACCTACAAAAAGTCAGTAATGGATACAGAGAACTAACTCACTGAAATTCTATGTGGTCCCAGAGGAACCAACCTACACGAAAGTCAATGTCATTACAGAGGATCCAACCTCACTGAAGTTCTATGTGGTCCCAGAGGAACCAACCTACCGAAAAAAGTCAATGTGGTTACAGAGGAACTAACCTCACTGAAATTCTATGTCCATGGTCCCGAGAACCAACCTCACCGAAAGTCAATGGTTATGTGAACTAACCCTGAAGTTTTATGTGTTCCCAGAGGAACCACATACACGAAAGTCAATGTGGTTACAGAGGAACTAACCTCACTGAGATTTCTATGGTCCCAGATGAACCAACCTCCCCGAAAGTCAGTACAGAGGAACTAACTCACTGAAGTTCTAAGGGTCCCAGAGGAACCAACCTACACGAAAGTCAGTGGTTACAGAGGAACTAACCTCACTGAAGTTCTATGTGGTCCCAGAGGAACCAACCTACACGAAAGTCAATGTGGTTACAGAGAACTAACCTCACTGAAATTCTATGTGGTCCCAGAGAAACCAACCCACGAAAGTCAATGCTTACAGAGGAACTAACCTCACTGAAGTTCTATGGTCCCAGAGAACCAACCCACACGAAAGTCAATGTGGTTACAGAAGAAACTAACCTCACTGAAATTCTATGTGGTCCCAGAGGAACCAACTCCACGAAAGTCAATGTGGTTACAGAGGAACTAACCTCACTGAATTTCTATGTGGTCCCAGAGGAACTAACCCACACGAAAATCAATGTGGTTACAGATGAACCAACCTCACTGAAATTCTATATGTGGTCCCAGAGGAACCAACCTACACCCAATGTGACAGAGGAAGTAAATCACTGAAATTCTTTGTGGTCCAAGAGGAACCAACCTCCCCGAAAGTCAATGTGGTTACAGAGGACTATCCCTCATTGGTAATTCTATGTGGTTACAGGAACTCCTCACTGAAATTCTATGTGGTCCCAGAGGAACCAACCTCACGAAATTCAATGTGGTTACAGAGGAACTAACCTCACTGAAGTTTTATGTGGTCCCAGAGGAACCAACCTACACGAAAGTCAGTGTGGATACCCTAAGTCACTGAAATTGTATGTGGTCCCAGAGGAACCAACCTAATGAAAGTCAATGTCATCACAGAAGATCCAACCTCACTGAATTTCTATGTGGTCCCAGAGGAACCAACCCACACGAAAGTCAATGTGGTTACGGATGAGCCAACCTCACTGAAATTCTATGTGGTCCCAGAGGAAACAACCCCTGAAAGTCAATGTGCTTTATAGAGGATCTAACCTCACAGTTTATGTGGTCCCCAGACGGGGATTCAATGTGGTTAACCTCACTGAAATTCTATGTGGTTCAGAGGAACTAACCTCACTAATTCTATGTGGTCCAAGAGGAACCAACCCGGGAAAGTCAATGTGTTTACAGAGGAACTATCCTCACAATTCTAAGGTGGTTACAGAGGAACCAACCTCACTGAAGTTCTATGTGGTCCCAGAGGAAACCCTACACGAAAGTCAATTTCTACAGAGGAACTAACTCAATAGTTCTATGTGGTCCCAGAGGAACCAACCTACACGAAAGTCAATGGGTTACAGAGGAACTAAACTCACTGAATTTCTATGTGGTCCCAGGAGGAACCAACCTACACGAAAACAATGTGGTTACAGAAGAAACTAACCTCACTGAAAGTCAAGTGGTCCCAGAGAGGAACCAACCTACACGAAAGTCCAACATCACTCACTGAAATTCTTTTTGTGGTCCAAGAGGAACCAACCCTCCCGAAAGTCAATGTGGTTACAGAGGAACTATTACAGAGGAACTAACCTCACTGAAGTTCCTATGTGGTCCCAGAGGAACCAACCTACACGAAAATCAGTGGTTACAGAGGAACTAACCTCACTGAAATTTTTTATGGTCCCAGAGGAACCAACCTCCCGAAAGTCCAATGTGATTACAGAGGAACTATATCCTCATTGTAATTCCCAGCGGTTACAGAGTTCTCACTGAAATTTATGTGGTCCCAGAGGAACCAACCCCCTGAATGTCAATGTGCTTTACAGAGGAACTAACCTCACTGAAGTTCTATGTGGTCCCAGAGGAACCAACCTCAATGGAATTTCTATGTATGTGGTCCCAGATGAACCAAACCCACAATGAAAGTCAATGTCATCACAGATGAACCAACCACTGAATTTCTATGTGGTCCCAGAGGAAACCAACCCACACGAAAGTCAATGTGGTTACGGGATGAACCAACCTCACTGAATTTCTATGTGGTCCCAGTGGAACCAACCTCCTGAAAGTCAATGTGGTGCGGAGGATCTAACCTCGCACTGAAGTTTTATGTGGTCCCAGAGGGGAACCAACCTACACGAAATTCAATGTGGTTACAGAGGAACTAACTCCACTGGAAGTTCTATGTGGTCCCAGAGGAACCAACCTACACGAAACAATGTGGTTACAGAGGAACTAACCTCACTTGGTCCCAAGAAACCAACCTACACGAAAGTCAATGTGGTTACAGAGGAACTAACCTCACTGAAGTTCTACAGAGGAAACAAACTCTCCTGAAAAAGTCAATGTGCTTATAGAGGAATTCTCACTGAAGTTTTTTGTGGTCCAAGAACTAACCAACCAATGAAATTCAATGTGGTTACAGAGGAACTAACCTCACTGAAATTCTTGTGGTCCAAGGAACCAACCTCCCGAAAGTCAATGTGGTTACAGAGGAACTAACCTCACTGTAATTCTATGTGGTCCCAGAGGAACCAACCCACACGAAAGTCAATGTGGTTCCAGAGAGGAACCAACCCAATTGAACACGAAAGTCTATGTGGTTACAGAGGAAATAACTCACTGAAAGTTCTATGTGGTCCCAGAGGAACCAACATACACGAAAGCCAATTACAGAGAGGAACTAACCTCACTGAAGTTCTATGTGGTCCCAGAGAACCAACCTACACGAAAGTCAATGGTTACAGAGGAACCAACCTACTGAAGTTCTGTGGTCCCAGAGGAACCAACCCACACGAAAATGTGGTTACAGAGGAACTAACCTCACTGGGTGGTCCCAGAGGAACCAACCTATTTCAACAATGTGGTTACAGAGGTAACCTCAGTGTTCTATGTGGTCCCAGAGGAACCAACCTACACGAAAACCTCCAACCTCACTGAATTTCTATGTGGTCCCAGAGGAACCAACCCACACGAAAATCAATGTGGTTACAGAGGAACCAACCTCACTGGAAGTTCTATGTGGTCCCAGAGGAACCAACCTACACGAAAGTCAATGGTTACAAAGTTTCAAGGTATCCCAGAGGAACCAACCAACACGAAAGTCAATTTACAGAGAACTAACCTCCACTGAAGTTCTATGTGGTCCCAGGAACCAACCCAATGAACTGTCGTGGTTACAGAGGAAACAACCTCACTGAATTTCTATGTAGTCCCAGAGGAACCAAACTCCACGAAAAGTCAATGTGGTTACAGAGGAACCAACCTCACTGAATTTC